ACACACACACACACACACACACACAGATGCTGAAGGCCCAGGGGGAGAGAAAGGCGCTGAAACTAGTTGTGTCGTTGGGTGTTGTCTACAGCTGGAGCTGGATCTAGTTACCGACACTCCCTATCCTTCACTTCTGTAACTTACACAAACCGTAAATGATGTGCATGTATGCAACTGACCCGACACCCCGTCTTCCACAGCGTGATGATAAACTGATGTGCGCACACACACACATGCAAGTCAGCAAACACACCCACTGAGATTTCCTGGGCCTCAAGTGCACCGACATCCACTTGTGTTACAATGAAGTTAAACAATTAAGGAAAAGGTGTGTGTGTGTGTGAGGGGAAAAGAAAGAAAAGACAGAAAAGAAAGAAAGAAGAAAAGAGCTGATTTGTGTGAGTGTGAGTGTGTTTGTGTTAGACAGGTTCCTCTCTGGTAGTTTGCCTGCTAATAAAACGTGAACCGGTAGAGTGAGATTACACCAGAGCACATGTAAGCGCTCTAACGTTCAACTGAAATTGTTTGCATAATGATAATGGGACTCGCCATCTCTCCCACCTCTTGTATATATCTCTCTGTTTTCCCTCTCAACCGGCCACATTTCTCCTTTATCTTCCTCCAACAAAACCCCCCAACACCCCACCCTCCACCCCTCCACCCCCCTATTTTCCCCCTCTATTTTTCCTCAGTTTATGTGTTTTTCTCAAGGCTTCCCTTCGCTCCGTGTGAGTTTTATTGCACGTTTGAACAATCTGAAATCATTGCACACGCCGCAGGGAAGGGCATAGGCCCATGGGCCAGCAGGAGGAAGAGGAAGAGAGCAAAAGAGAAAAAAAAAAGAGGGGGGTGAATGAAAGAGATGAACAAATGGAGATGGAGGATCAACCAGAGAGATAAAGGAAGGCGTGAAAAAACAACAGAATCAAAGAGAAAAAAGAGGGAGTTAATTACTTGTGTAATGACAATGGGTTCACCACACCCCTGTGGACCCGAACCCGAGTCCAAACAAGACCACAGTACATGACACACCTTTTTCACTGATGATGTTTCAGAGCCCCGAGCAAATTACAGTACAGAAGAATAGATTTTTCTTTTTTTATTCATCCGAACAAGCAGCTTAAGGTGAAGTGAGTCAAAAAAAAAAAAAAACGAGACAGGGATTCAGACAGACTGGCAAAAGAGACTGACTGGTAATTAGACTCACACACGCACAGGCAGCAAGAGAGAAAGATAGGTGAGAGACAGAGAGGGATGTAGAGGAGGGGGAGAGAAATGGAGACAGTGAGATGAAGATGACCAACACAGAACAGACAGACAGACAGACATGGAGACAGACATGTAGACAGACAGATGGATAGATAGATAGATAGATAGATAGATAGATAGATAGATAGATAGATAGATAGATATCATGCTTCATAACAGGAAAAATGAAAAAGCACCGCAAAAAAATTGAAGATTTGGCAGAATTAATTGGAGGCAAATCATTACCTTGTGCCTTGGCGTGTGAAGCCAGCAGGCTTCCTAATAGCAGAATCCACAGGTATGACATCATGGGAACACGGTGTTCTGCCTGTGAATAAAAACGGGGCTCAGTCTCCCTTTTCTCGCCCTTCAAACAGGACAATTAGCCGCTCTGGAGGTTTTCAGGTGGATGTGGAGGGCGCGCTTGTCAGCGTGCCGGTGCGTTCTTGCGCGTCGGATCAATCCCGCGCTGCTCCAAAGTGCTCGGATGCTCTGGCTCAGTGCGCGCCGCCGCGGATCTGTCGTCCTCTTTTGTCTGGATTGGGAGTCTTTATTAAGGTGGGCGGGTCTCAGACAGCCGGGGCTGGGTAGGTTGCCGTGAAGGCATTAGGATTACTTTCTCCACTAATCAGCGGTGGGTTTTCTTGTCATTCCAATGCTATGACAGTTACCAGCAATTTGGATTCGTGCTCGTCTTTGTCAGCCCTGATTAGTGCGAGGTAAAGCTCAATTATCCAGAAACATCCTGTGAAGCTGACTGTGTAATTTTAACATTTAAAAAAAACAAAACCCTACAACCCTGAACTGGAGGAAAGTGTGCCCCTTTGGTCCAGCATTAACAAAATCTTGCCATCCTGACAAATCTGAGAGCATTTAATAGAACACGTATCACTTTATGAGTTTAACATTCCCACAGGCAGCAGGCATGAAGTCATAAACCTGGGATGACTTTAGATAGTTCATACTGGCTCCTTGCAGCCTAATAAGTCTGTAATTTATTAAAGCATCAGGTTTCTGGAGGGAATACTGAATTAAAGGATTTTGAAATGTCAGGCTCTGGTCTGTTTTTAATGTTAAATTAATGTTAGGTTTCTATTTGAGAAAACCACACATGACCTCATGCAAACCAAGCAGGAGGTGGATCTTAAAAGGGAACATTTTCCTTCCCATTTTTTTAAGCCTCTTTCTTCTTTGCCAAACTGAAATGTGTAATACCTGTGTTAACCAGCAGGTGGCGACATTCATTCATGATTTCATAGTTTGCATCTGTAATATTATTTTTTTTTCTCTATATGATGCTTTCAAATCCCAAAACATTTAGGATTTGTTTAATATCCAGTTTAGCAGTTTAGCTAAACATTCTGCCAATCAGATTTGGAAGATTGTCAGGATTTAGCATCTTTTTTGGTAAATTATAGGCTTCTATATGTTTGACTTCAGACTAAAAGGGGTGTAAATAGTTTTAATTGTGCACACATGACACAAAATCATTTATTTACATGAAGATCCTTTCTTTTTTCCCCCCTTTGAGGGCTGAAAATATATTTATTCCTGCCACTCAATCACACCTTAAATTTGATGCTTTATAGAAAAACGTTTCTTTTTTCAGGGGCTTACGATAAAGTTATTCGTGATTTAGTTAAGGTCAGTCACGAACAGCTGATACACGAGTCCACTATGGAGGTTTTTTAGCATCACATGAGTGTAAACACACAGACACACCCGTCGGATTTTCCTATCACCACCGGCGTCATGGAGAAAAGACGATTCTGGCATAGGGGTGAGAGAGGCTGTGTGTTATCTTGACACTGATGAATTATAACAGTTTGACCTTTAGACTCAGCTCATCAAAAACCAGTTTCTTTAGTCTTTTAGCCACAAGCAAAATGTGAGGCTACCAACATTCTGTCGTGCAAAAAAAGAAAAAAAATCAGTCACCTCTAAGTGTGACGTTAAAAACCAGCAGTCGACTGGGACTCCTCTGGTATAAAAACGCGACAGGATGGTTACAAAAAGAAATGTTTATTAGTGTCTTGGCACAACGATTACAATTGACACATTTATTATAAAAACACACATAAAGCCTCAATTTGAGATTGTTTCAGTAAATTGATTGTTTTATTCTGAAAAAAAGGTTGCATCTGAGGATCTGAGCACAACATTCAGATGTCAGATCCATTTGGAATCAATTTTTCCTCCTCAGATTGATGTCAGAAAGGAAGAAAAAGTAGCATGTGTATGATTTATCTATAGCGTGTGTTGTGAGAATCCAACATAAAGGGCTTTTTGGTCAACAGTTTTCTTAAAGACAGATGATGCCTGGAGCTCAGGTCTGTGTCTGCATTGACTTAATATCAGAAAAAAGGGGTGAGGCACATTGACAGAGGGCAGAGAAGGTCAATATTTTTTTTTTTCTCCATTCATTCCATCGTACAAAACCAATGTTGGTAGTAAGGCTGTAAAACGCTCAGGAAAGCACTCAGCTATGGGTCTGAATGTGTGTAGCTTTCAACAACACTTATAGTTGCACTTGGCAGATCAAGGAGGTATGCAAGGACACTGTAAACACTGTAACCAGAACGTTGCGAGGCTTTTCCTGACTGAACTCGCTGCTTATTTCTTTTGGCACAAAAACAACAACAACAAAAAATTATTTACCATAACTACCCCGAGTTTGTTAGCCCTTCTTCCGTGTTCTCCGCCTGTAATCTGTACCGTGAAAGCACTTGGTCGTCAGCACTTTGGTCGGCTATCGAGCAACAGCAACGTAAAGACTGACTTCAGCTTAACGCACATAAAATAACTTCATGGAAGAAAAAAGGAAATGTGAAAGTGTCACGGCTTTCTGAAGTGTGGTGCTTGTTCCGTTGCCTTACATTCTGATTCCTTGCTTTTTTCCTGCCCGATTGATCTTTTTTTGTTGTTAATGTGGCCATATTTTAAAAGACAGAAATTATTATTCGAGGCAAAGAATCCTAAAGGAAAATCCCTGGCTAATTCACAGACTTCAGAGACAAAATCTTTCAGCTTTTTAGCTTGTAAATGTCAACTAAAATGCCAAATCAGCCCAAATATAAGCATAGCGCTGGTGAAAGTGCCACCAATAACATTTTCCAGCTCAACTCAGTGTTGTCAACAGACAACTAACGGCATTTTAACGTGTGAAAACCCCACCTGTGAGTAGACTTTCTGAAGAATTTCGAAAGGAAAAGCACACACAGTTTTAATTTCTTTAAGGCAGGTGACTCTAAAACGAGTCACGCGAACTATAACGTGCACTTCCCCGTGCCGGAACATTAGGCAGCACTCTACTCACTTTTTCAGGGTGAGAGAGGTAACAACTGAAATACGCTACAGCTTTTCTCACTCACAACAATCATGCAGTATTATTAGTGCCGCTTTTTTTTTTCCTTCTCGAACATGCTACCAACTGTGCAACTAAGGATGAGTATTAAGAATCTGGATTGTCTGCAGTACGAAGGTTACATCAGCAGAAAGTCAAGACAGAGGTATTAAGACACTTGAATTTAAAAAGGCATTGTGTGTGAGAGAGAGAAAGACAAGAGAGAGAGAGAGAGAAAAGAAGACGGAATTATTCTCAGTAGCTTCAATTCAGCGTAGCAAACAAAGTGAAGGCAGCATTTGGGCTCCCAGCCTATCTCCACAGCATAATGAACGGCTGATGGTCCCGGTCTGTACAATCTGAGTGACTACTGTTTTGGTGCAGAGCTCGATTGGCTCGGAAAGTGGCTCACATTTTGTTGAAACACTCCTTGGCGTTGGACCACACCTGGATTCCCTGGAAAAGCGAACAAGTGGCAGAGAACAAAAGTGATTTGACATTTTAAAAGGCGAGCGTTTAGAAAAAACAGACGAGCGGTTGACCTGTTGAGAGGTGTACTGCGCAACAAGTGTGACACAGCCAGGCGGTCTTTGTGTAAAGCTGGCTTGACAAAACCTAAAACCCCGAGCAGAGATAATGGGTATCGCGGCTTTCTTTGTTAACTCGGGCTTTCTTCACCAGGTTCTGTGCGTGACCCATTAAAAGGAGGTTTTTAACATGTCATGTGACTCTTCTGCTGCACAAAACAGACTGATGCTGTGCTGCTTTTTCAGTCAAGTGGAACCGGTTGTAATAATGGAGAGCTGTGAAGAATGTAAAAATGTATTTGGGTATAAAAAGCACTGTTACGGTGAAGGATGCAGGAGAGGGAGAAAACTGTTTATCGCTTTAAGTCAATATATTTCATTTTACTACTCAGTGCATTCTCAATTTAGTTGCTTATTTCTACCCTGACGGCTCGGTGGTTAGCATCGTTGCCTCGTAGCAAGAAGCTCGCCGGTTCGTTTGCATGTTCTCCCCGTGCAGCGTGGGCTCTCTCCAGGTTCTCCGGTTTCCTCCCACACAGTCCAAAAACATGTTGAGGTTAATTGGTGATTCTAAATTGTCCGTAGGTGTGAATGTGAGTGTGCTTGGTTGTCTGTCTCTAAGTGTAGCCCTGTGATGGACTGGTGACCTGTCCAGGTGAACCTGCCTTCACCCTGAGTCAGCTGGGATAGACTCCAGCCCCCCACGACCCTAGTGAGGATTAAGCGGTGTACAGACAATGGATGGATGGATTTCTACCGTGACAGCTGCACATTAGAGCGCTTACATTTTAAATTTAATTCCTTTAAACACGATACACAACATTTAGGTTTAACACTTCCCATAGTGAACCATATGTGGAAGGTAATTTAGTTTTTGGCCACATCAAAATGAAATTATCATTAAGGACTGAACAGTTTTTGTGATCAATACCAACATACAAGCAGCAACTCAGGACCGAACCTATAATCGTATTTATGCATCTCCTGCATCACCAACTGAATGAATGTCGGTTCCTGTGGCAATGTGATGCACACAGTTTATGCTGCAGTAGCTGCACTGCTTTACTAAAGTACAGCTCAACAGCTTTGCAAAGCAGTCCCTGAGCTGAGAATCTGTATCGCACCCAGAAAGTCATCAGGGAAAGAGCTGGTGAAAGGGTGGCACATTTTATCGTCGATTTAATTCCCAAACTTCGAACATAACCTCCTCCAGAGCAGGTTATCTGAGCAGCTTAAGTTGCCATGGTGATCGAGCCACAATAAAACAGAGCCCCCTTCGTGACATTGAAAACTTTGGCTTTAGGCTCCACATACCTTGTGAACCCATTAATCTCGCCTCGCAGCACACCCCTCGACAAAATCAACATCACTAAACACTGGCTGTTTTGAATACGAAATTAAACGTGAACAAACTGTGGGAAGAAACAACAAAAAGTTCGCACCTTCTTACACATGCTGATCTGCATGATGGCATAGCCGATTAGTGCTTCACGTAGATCTTTGTCCTTCTGCTCCTTAAAATGCTCGATGTCTTCCCATGCTGTTCGCACAAATTCTCTGGCGACACAATCACAAAGACACGTGTGATTGTCATTAGAGTGGAAGGAATGAACAGAAAAAGAACAGAAGATGAGGTAGAGGAAGAAGAAAGTACAATAATGCTGCACTTCCTGCTCCTTGTTTATTTATGTTCTACTTCCTGCTTTTTATATGAATACAGCGGACCTTTTTAATCATTTACTTTTTATTTATTGACTGTATTCACTACTTTGGCAAAGTGATGACATATCTCTTCTCCTGTGATTGATAATCCAATCTCCACTTAAATTCTGGAGTAACCAGCCTTAGTCTGATAATGTACTGCATTTTCAGATCATAAGAGGAAGAAAAACAGACAGTGGGAGAGATTTAAAGGACAGGCTGCCTGGAAGAGGGTGGATGTTTGATTAATTGGCGACGGGCTTACTGGCACTCGGCGTTCTTCTCCTTCACCGCGTGCTCTCCCTCCTGGATACTCTGCTCCAGGGCTGCTAACCTGCTCTCCCTCTGCTCCTGGCTCTCTTGGCCAAACAATTTGCTGGTCATTCCCTTCAGTGAAAAGATTCGCACAGTCTGCACTCACACACACACAAACACACACACACACACACACACACACACAAACACAGACACAGAGACAGACAGACACACGCATTAACTGATTCCATTATGCTTTCATCAATTATAATCAGAAAAAAAACCCTCGCCTAATTCTGTGGATTAATAGCGCTTGTGTGCAGAGTGCAATTATGACAGTGGACTGTCACTGTGTGTGTGTGTGCCATCTGTGTGTGGAAGAGAAAGCGAGAGATAATAAGCTGTTGAGTGTGGCAGTGTGTTACCCCGGTGGCCAGCTCCTCTTTCTGTTGTTTCTTGTGGGCGAGGTCCTGCGCTGCCATCTCCAGCTCATACTGGATCAGCTCATGTTTTCTACATACTGACCTTAATACACACAAATTGACAAGTTTTAGACACTAAATACAATGGAAACCCAATAATACAGACCCACAACATGAATATATCCATCCATCCATTATCTATACACTGCTTAATCCTCACTGGGGTCATGGGAGGCTGGAGTCTATCCCAGCTGACTCAGGGTGAAGGCAGGTTCACCTGGACAGGTAACCAGTCTATCACAGGGCTACACTTAGAGACAGACAACCAAGCACACTCACATTCACACCTACGGACAATTTAGAATCACCAATTAACCTCAACATGTTTTGGACTGTGGGAGGAAGCCGGAGAACCCAGAGAGAACCCACGCTGCACGGGGAGAACATGGAGACTCCATGCAGAAAGATCCTGGGTGTCCTCGCCGGAACACGAACCGGCGACCTTCTAGCTGCGAGGCAACAGTGCTAACCACTGAGTCACCTTGCAGCCCCCATGAATATATGTCGAGGATAATATTAGGAGTCAAAGAGAAATTATTCTTTCACAACCACTTATTATTGTCTGATATGATGTGATTTGAATTTAGAATTTGTTTTTTCACACTAGATAAATTTTATACAAAGAAATGTAAAATGTTGATATAAATAGAATTGAATTAATTCAACTAACGGACAGGTCTCAAACAGACCACAGGAGAAGTGAACAAGTTCTCTCTGAACCCATTTTTCTGACCCAGAAGGAGGAACATCCTTTACTCATCCCACTTCCCTCTGAGCCTGATGTAAATCATGGCCACATAAACCATCTACAACAGCCTTAAATAACGCCTAATTCAACCCATAAGATTTACTCATCAAAATTGTTTGCAACTGTAGAAAACAAAGTACACTCAGATGGTCTGTCAATCCTGATAAAAGCATCAGTTAAACCCACTTGTATTCCATTACAATTCCCTACAGATAAATCTTTCTTTATTTCAAACAGTTAGTTACCTGACAGCATCGGTGTAGAAGAGGTATTCCTTCAGTTCGTCAGCATAGTGCTCTTCCTCCTCCAGGATATCGTCTATGGATGCAGCGTATCTGGATACGTACACAAAAGGCCACATTTGAAGTGAACTCATGCCAAACAAACATTATGTGTGAGAGTACGCGGATGTGTTTATCAGTGCTTCAGATAACACATTGAAGTGGAGGCTCGAGTGTGAGTACATGAGAGGGTGTGCTAGTTGGAGTTTTTCCACGATCTGCTACTTACGTGTCCATGTGGTGGCCAGCGCTCTGCAGTCCGTCTCCCATTTCTTTTTCTATAGCACTCCACTCACTAGACACAGAAAAATTCAGCTGAATTCAACAATTTTTAAGATAAAAGGGTGCTTTAGTCACTCACAAATGACTGCAGCACTTTATATTTAGTAGATTCCTCTCATTTAAAATAACTAAACCATTATTATATTAATGTAGAAACACAGTCCCATTAGGGCAGCTGGTTCTCACCTGAAAACTCTGCCGTAGTTGCCGTGGACCTTGTAAACGCCATACAGCCTGTCTGCTACTCGCTAGAAAAACACATCACATCAGTTATCAACAACACCCTGTTTCTGACTTTACATGTCGTGCTATTTTAAGCCCATACATTTGATAAAAACACTGAGTCAATGATTTTCTATGAGCAGAATTCAAGTGTTTTTGTCACATTTACAGTGAAAACCAACATGCACAGCAGCCACGTTTTAATTCACTGTTAAGTATAGCAACAAATCTAAAGTAAAGCTGGTTCATAGATAAATGTTGCCCAAGGTAAAATGGTAGAGAGTACCCGATAAAACCAGTCAATAACAAAGCAAGGCATAGGTAGGTATTCTTTTCAGGAGTAGACAGACAGACAGGCAGTAAAATTTGAATTTGTACAAGGAAGAGGCGCCCACATTACCCAACACAGTATGCAAAACCCATAAACCTTACCCAAACTGTGGCCAAATCTAAACAAAGAGTTAAGTGTAGGCGTGGAAGTGCGTGTATGCACATGCTGAAACTCACCGCTCGCACCCTGAGCAACTGGGAGATGACAGTGTTCAGCTCGTCGCTGTACTGCTTCAGCGCTGTGAATCGCCTGGAGAACAAAACCCACGGGAAATCGCTCAAAGTCTACTTTTGTATTATTATATTTCAGTATTTTAAATGTGTTTCAGTTCATGCTTTGAATATGTTGGGAAATATTACTTTCATTTTAGTGCTTTTAAATATCTGCAAGCTGTCATTATCTCCTACAATCTGTTTTAACACAGTCATCATTAACAATTCTGTAATCTGTCTACATTGTGTGGTGTGTATACATCCCAGCAAGTTTAGAATATGTCTGCTGTACTCTTACTTGTCAGGGTTCTTGACCCTGAACATGGCACTCAAAGACTTCAGTCTGGAGTCAGCCTGGTGGGGAACAGAGTTACACATACTTTACATGTGGGAAATGTGAGAATCTATGAAGTGATGCTTTTGATATGATGCAGTTTGATATCACAAAACAAACCTATAATACTGACAAGGCCAATTATTAACAAAAATATCAAAAAATTACATTCAACAGTTAAGTGAGGTCCAGCAGGATTAACTGTACCTTATCCTGGAAACCTGTCTCCAGAACTGCCTCCCTCCATCCCTTTTCCTGAAGACAGATGATGGACAGATGAAAGAGAGGGATATCAACCACACTGAGAAGAATTGGCTGTTCTAACTGACAGTAACACTACAACTAAACAACAAGCAGGCTGCACTGTGCTGGACTGTATCTCTTGCTACAGGCTACGATGGAATACAGAAGTTCTGTTCAATGATGTAACCAATGGCAAGACTCTGCATGAAATAAGTTTTCACACTTGGGAAAGTTAACCAGGGAAGAAGTAATTGCCACCTACATACTGACAGATGAGGAACAAATCAGATTTATGTGTTGTGAAGTATTCTGTTTGGCACTGGTGTGTGCAGTATTTCTGCAGAAAAAAAAAAATCGATTTTCTCATTCATATTGGTATTAAGGTGTCTCGTTACATAAAGCTTTACCAGACAAACGGGTCAGTCACTTTTCCATGGCACTGTGACACACACTTCTAGGTAAAAACATAAGCTTCCTATTTATTGTTCTTTGCCAGAATCACGTAGCAACATTCTCCCACCAATTGAGCCTCTTGCATTGTTTTTCTGTGGCGCGACTGTCAGTTTGAAATCTCTATAGCGCGTATATGTGTGTGCAGAGACGTTGTGTGATGTGTGTTCCGTTGCTAACCTCTGTGAGAAAGAGGAAGAAAATTTTGTCATTGGAAAGGACAGGGTGCGACGCAACACGCAGCAGGAAGTTTTCCAGACCGACTCTCCTTCGCTCAACAAAGTCTGGGTCGAGGTTGTCAGCAGAAAGCTTGTGCCACACAAACTCGGCCTACACAAGACACAATCAGAGGAGCAAACAAGAAAAAGTAAAGATAAAAAGCCATCATTTACTACATGATTCATCTGAAATATCTTCCAAATGAATCTTTTTTTTTTTATTCAATATTTTTATCCCACCATCTACGTGACACTCACCCTTTTCTCCGGCAGCGGGGGGACGATGACGTAGGGGTATGTGACCAAGAGGTATGTTCTGAGGAGCTCAAACTCACTGTAGCGTCTCCACAAAGTGTCAGGTGCAGCTGGCGTACCTCCCTCTGGGACAGTTTCCGCTGGCCTGCAGACACAAGAGTGGGAATAAACTGTATTTTAGGTGCTACACAGAAATAGTAGTACATTTTAGCTATGTTCAGAGCAAACTGAGTTAAAGAGAAGCATGAAAAACTGAGAGAAGTCCTTAAGTGCTCGCTTAAAAAGCCACAATGCCCCAGTCACAGTGATAAACTCACGTTCGTTTAATTAAGTAGTCTACCGAGGTTACATAATAATCATGGCAAGCTACTCCACTCCTTGACCTTGTGACATTTAAGCAGGTTTAATTATGTTAAGTGTATACGCTGTGCAGCTGTCTTTATTTTCCGCACTGGGAAAAGTCTTGCGGTGAAAGTATTAGCATGATAGCTAGAAACACTATAGTTGGTCAACGTTTAAAATGCTGGAAGAACAAAAGTGTAATTTCTCACTCTGGTGCAAATTGTAGCACCTGCACCTAAAACTGAATCACGACTGAGGAAGTTTTACACTTCATTACTCTGAGGACAGAAGAGAAAAAAACTCTGCAGCACCAAGCAAATAAGTGTAAGTGGTTCCACAACCCTCCAGTGACACTGCTGGGGTTTTTTTTTGCAGGACTATATTAAGCTCTTTGCACGTTCAGAAATCTGGGTAAAGAATCAACTGATGTGAAAAAACAACAGATGTTCCAGTTAGAGACCTACCGTATTTCTATGAGGTAGACGGTATAGGTTTCTTGCATGTTAACCGTGTTCTTCCCCGTTCTCTTCTCTGCCTCTGCTACATTTATCTCCAATTTTCTCAACAGAGCTGTCCCTTTTTCCACCATCTACACAGACAAGGGGAAAAAAGATGTGTAAGGACGAGGAAAAGGCAATCAAAATGTCACGTAAACATACTAAAGTATGCGACAAACGTAAGAGGGAGCATCAGGAAATAAAATAAAATAGTCTTTGCTTCCTTAGCATCTTTTAAAACTGGACTTACATGATTCTCAACACATTTTAAAATACAAAGCATAAGAAAATCGCAGTAAAACATTAAAAGAAGACAATCACACAGGAAAGACGACAAAACATGAAAAAGAGAAATAACAAACCATTAGACTCGGGATAAAATGTTATTCAAATGCCACTCTGTACAGGTTGGTTTTAAAACGCTTTCTGAAATGACCTAAAACAAGTAAAAGCATGGTTCCCCTTGTTTAACGCCTAACCTGTGGAACTTCAAGTAACCGATTCTGTTCTATGGCACTTATCTAGATTGTTTTCTCCCGACTAGATCCTCACTTGTGTTGCATCTGCTCTCAGATGTACGTCGCATTGGATAAAAGCGCCTGCTAAATGAAATAGTAGAATTGTAGATTCTCTGATCTGAGGGGTCCAGGTGCAGAATAAGGGGTTAAAACAGAGCATGCAGAGATTCTAAAGCAATATCTGGAATCTTAAATTGGACTCTCTACCAAATTACGAGCCACTGTAATTCAGCCAGGACTGGAATTATGCATCCTCTGCACCTTCAGTTTGTAATAGCCTTGCCACTGAGTTTTAAATTAACTTTAACTGGGGAATTGCTGAATTGTTGCCGTAGTCCAGGCAGGGAAAAAAGAGGAAGTGGATAAGCTGTTTCCCCTTGCTAATATTTGCAATGTGTATATGGTAAGATTGAACCACAGTCCTATTTTGGTTGGTTAATGATGAGTGCTTCATGTCCATAAATAGCAGTCAAAGATAAGGAATGATATCACTAGAACCTTGGACAAAGAACCAGTATTTAAGTTGTGAGAAATCAGAATCCATTCAGTCCTGGATTGCAGGAAGTCAGTATTCCAGAGAATCTAGACTGTCATGATTGGCAGGGTCAAAGGAAATCAGTTAAACAGACAGGTGTGACTTTCAGTGACTAATAACAGACATGTAGGGACAGACTAGCAGGAAACTAGAGGAACACACACACACACAGGCATCTGTTTGGCCACTGGAGATACTGTAACTGGGTTATGGCAGGAGTGTGCAGGTCACAAGACACAACAAAGCACCAAAGTACAGCAAAACGCAGCTTCAGTATCCGGAAACTGTCATTTCTCACAAGATATTACGTTACTGAAGACTTTACTGGCAGAAAAGGCAGAGAAATACGGCCAATCTGAAGTAAACAAAACTTAGCTTTAGCCTTCAGACTTGCTAGCTAGCTAGCTAACGTCAGGAGCAAAGTTTACAAAGTGATTTCTATCCACTGGTATTCAAAGCAGCTTCAGCACACTTTGTAACTTCAACGTTACATCGCACGACGAGGAACTACATTCAACACCGAGACCAACGAACGACCCATAAAACCGTAGCGGCTCTTTATTTTTAAAAAAAAGAATGGAAAATCTCCGTCCCTGTGTCACTAACTTTAGCTAGCTAACATCAGGTTAGGCCTTAATTGGATGGCTTCACGGGTTAAAACAGGGGTTCTAAACTTTAAACACGTTTGTTGAAGAGAATAACAAAGTGTACGACCGTGTTTATGATGTTGTTCTCTGATTCCGTTGAAGTGATGTCGGTGTTACCAATCACGGCTACTTCTTCGCTACTTCCAGAGTCTGCCATGATCATCTGTCTGCAGAGGTGCTGCTGTTGTCAGCTGAGCTGGCAGCGGCGGCTCTCCTCTGCGCATGCGCAGCTCAGAGGCCAGTGAACGTTGAAACTTTCCTGCAAATAAACGAACTTTTGATTCTAATTAACTAAACCAATAAAACATGGAAAACGGTTGTCTTGAATGAGAGTCCGGAATTTAAAATAAAATACTATATTATAGTATACAATTACATATGTATATATAATTTAAAAAAAACATGGAAAACGGTTGTCTTGAATGAGAGTCCGGAATTTAAAATAAAATACTATATTATAGTATACAATTACATACATATATATAATTTAAAAAAAAAAAAAAAAATCTATGTAAAATTACAACACCAATACTTGTTTTTCCATTAACTGTCACCCATTTTATGTAATTTTCGAGGTATATTTGCAAAATTCAGATACATTTGCCGGTGAT